TTTTTTTTTTTTTTTTTTTTTTTTTGGAAACATTAATTTTTTTAAGTTTGTAAAAAATTCCTTTTTATTAATTATTAATAGAAACTAACAAGAAGATGTAATGTATCCAAAATTTGGGCCAGTTTCAACAAGTTATTATTACAACGAGTTGTGGTTTAGGTTAGGTTTAGATTAGGTTTATTATAATTTATTGTAAACTTTTTAAAGTTTAGGTTAAGGTTATTATAGTTTATTATAAACTTGTTGTGGTTATGGTACAATGTGAAAGACTCATCTTTCTTTGAGATGGATTTTTTTTAAAAAATGAACATAGTAATATAATACTCTTAAATTTGGGAAAATATGTTATTAATTATCATTTTCAAGTGTAGTTTCATTTATAATAAAATCTTCTGCTCCAATAAATTTCAGTTTCTATTTCATCAAAATAGTTACAATTATTTCATGAGTGATTGTAATTATTTTATAAATAAATTTAAAACGTATTCTACCATCATTTTTGTAGGAATTAAACGAGGAGTGTCAAATGTCAAAGAAGTGGCAGACGACAGGCAACCCACCTTACACAGTTGTGTACAGAGTCTTCTTCGACAAGGCGTGGATTAAACATTATAAAAAACAATTAAATGAAATTTTTTAATACTTACGACGAAAAAATATTATTTTTTATCGGTCAATTGCTGCATTTTCTAATTCTTGTTATCTTGTTTATGTTTGAGCAAAGTCGTTGCATAATTGTGTTTATTAATTAACGATTGATTATTATTTGAAGTGCGATAAAGTTCAAGGCTCGCTAATTATTATTTTGAAAATTTTAAGGTATTTTTGGCAAGAATGATGTTCGGTTACAAAATAGATGGTGATCCAACGAAAGATTTATAACGATTCTATTGCCGGCGGGTCTTCAATTTCCATAAATCGCATCGCGCGACAGTGTCTCGTTCGTGGAGACTTTATGTGCCATTGGTCGGCTAAATTTTCCATCATAAATGGACATAAAGGATATCTTACACAGCGAGATTGTATGTTCTAATGGAAGAAGAAATATTTTTGCATCTTTCTTCTCCTCCATTTTCCGTTTTCCTTTGTTCATTGGAATCGGTCGATTTATTTATTGTTAGTTAATTAATCGTCGCTTCGATACTGATACAATTGTTCTCTATTGTTTTCTATCGCAACGTGCTGGAGTATAATTCGTGGCATAAATAGGATTTGATAAAAAGGGAAAAATTATTTTTTCGAAATTTGGTTAACGACATTTTTAGATCGATGATGATGATAAAACAGAGATTAGATATTAGAATGAAACATTTTTTGAAGTTGTGAAAAATATTAATAAAAATATATTTTTACAAATTGAGGATGGTAGACAGAATAAAATAAAGAATCATTGAAGAATCTAAAAAGTGGATGATTAATCTTGAGAAATAATTTCCTGATTGCTTGAACAACTTAGAACAAGTACTACATTTATCTATCAGAACTATTAAATTAGATAACACTATAGTCAGGCGTTATATTAACAATCGTATTGCGTTTTATTAAAATTAAAAAATTTTAATTAATTTTAATTAATTTTTAATGTTATTCCTAAGCTTCCAGAAAACAAAAAACATTTTTAGCCTTTGCTACATATTTAAAAAATTAAACTTAAAAGGTTTAATCGAATTTAAAAGTTGAAAGAGTTTCTCAAAAAGAATGAGAATTTAGGATTCAAAAAATTTACTGAGTTTCAAGGGTTACAAATAAAAGTACGTAGAATGTCTCGGGATTATATTTAAAGCTCTTTTAAAACGCAATTGAATTTGCTCGCAATTCACACGTGCGGCAATGAACCAAGTAAACTTGTGTTAGTATATTATAAGAAAAATGGAATTATTCTATTCGTTTCTCACATTATCTTCAACACAGTATCGAAAGAAATAGGGAACACGCGATTATCGTTCGTCTTCTTATCTTGTCATGGTTGAAACCTTGTTCATCGAGCAGGGAACAGAATTTGGCAATATCTTGGCCGCTTCATTCCGCGGGATCGGGATGTTCTATTCGCGTTCATGGGGCCACGGGATTCATTCGGAAAAGTGTATTGTCCATAGCCCTGCTGCTGCGTTTCCGTTTTACTCGGATGGAACATATTGAATCAACCAGCCGGAAGGAAACTCGGTTTCAGCGAAATATGCCACGAATTTCGACTGCCGTCAATTCACCCTCGATCGCTTCTCCGGCTGCTTCCTTTGACGATTTCGCTTCTTCCCGAGGGTCCTCGCAGGACCTCCCTCGAGGAAATTCCTGCTGATGAAACTGTTTGGTCCCGGCTGCAAATTCATTGTTTAACACGCTGACCATCGCGCGAGTTTCATGCATCTTTTCTTAGAAATCACGATAGATTGAAGCAAGTATGTCGTAACATGATACAAATAACTCGCCGTAATCTAATTCATCATAATATAATTTTCGTATAATTATTCAAATAGTATATTGCATTCGATATTTTATCATCAGATGTCGATGTCAAATATATCAGTGTACAATTAATTTTGCAAATATTCTCCTACAGTTTCTAGAGAAATGTGTCTAGTAGACGACGATTTGTCTTATTGGAATATTTTTGTGAAAGCCATTATGTCCGTAAGTCGTGCATTCACTTTTCGTATATACTATTTTCAAGTAAATAATTAATCTTCTGTTTAGCGATTACCTCTTATTAATTTATACATTTTACTATCACCGGCATCCTCAATTATGAAACGAGAAATGTTTTGCATCTTGAACTGATTGCGAGAGAAGATACTAAATAAACGCATCGTCAGAATTATATTTCACCCCCGGGAACCACCAATCTCACCACTCTCGAAGTTTCCGCTGTTTTCTTCGAAACGTTCGAAAAGAATAAATCAAGATTATTTATCGCAAGATTGCGATTATTCGCGGAGGGGACGGCTGAGTCGTTAAAAAGTTGTAACGAGCTGATCGGAGCGGGGCTTTTCAATTGTTTCAAAGGGTGAGCAAGTTTTAATTGGATCGGCGTGTTTTTACCGGGTGGCCGGTTATGCCGAGGGAATCGGTAATAGAGGCGATCTCGACAGCTTATTTGCCGGAGACGTTAGTTACGCGAGGAAAGTCACGTTAGCGGCCGGGATTCAATGCAATTGCGATTAAACGCGGCCTGTTTGCCCGTGTACACGGCGAATAGACAATCTGCCTGCACCGACCACTCTACGCAACATTAACCCGCCCCTCTCTACCGCCATAATTTACCACCCTATCCTCCTTGATAAATGCTACTTTATCCGAATAAACTTGCTTTACGTTATACAGTCGTCTGCCGTGGTTCTAGACAATTTGTCTAATAGTCAATTAATCGTTTCAGCTCTATATTATAAAGCAGTTTGCTCTTGTAATTTACATAATTTGTATCTGATGATAGATTGATTCCTTGATATAGCTTGTTTTTTTAAAAGGAGCAAAATTGGGGATTCAGGATATTTGTTAAAGAAAGAGTCTTGAAAGAGTGTCAAGTTCTCGATAATAAATTGTTGTATGTGTACAAAAAAAAATATATATACAAACAAAACAGGTATAAAAATCAAAAATAATCTTCCAACTATATTTTCAGCAGTACCTTCGTAACTTAATCTTTCACCTAATCTCTTATTCGCAATTATCTTCTCACGTTGAAACGTCTTCAATCTTCAATCCATCATCGATGAACCAAGGACACGAGAAAATGATTCTCTATTTTGACTAGTACATTTGTCTAACCTTCCATTCGTAATCTATAAACTTCGTTTCATCCCTAAGATTGGAGATTATCAATCTTTAATTTTACAATTAGGCGATTGTAACTTGTGTCTTCATTCTTATTCTTTCTAAATGGAAAGCTGCATTAAGAAACCATCAATCTATCACCAAATCACGGATTAAAAGTTAATCAAAAGACGAAAAATCTGATCAGCCAAACAAATTCAAAGAGTAGTTATACTATAAAACAGATTGTGCGAGAAGTTAATTATTAACAAAAAAATCCTAAATCTCCAAGTTTGTCTTTTTTAAAAGGAACTATCAATCGATCACCAAATAATCAGAAGATGCTATGAAAAATCTGACCGTTCAATTACAAATTTAAAAAACACTATAAAGCAGATTGTGAAAGAAGTGAAACGATTAGCTAAGCATTAACAAGTATTCTAAATTCCCAATTTTGTCCTTTATAAAAGATAAACTGTATTAAGAAGCCATGAATCTATCATCAAATAGACAGAAGACGTTGTGAAAAATTTGATCGTTCAAACGAATTGAAGGATTATTATAAAGCAGACTGCGCGAGAAGTGAAATGATTGGTTAACGGTGAATGATCAAATTTTTCTCATCGTCTTTCAATTTTTAATTTTCTAGCGTGATTTTTTAAAAGGGATAAGATTGTGAATAGTGAAGATATTGCATGATATGAGTATAGATTATGGATAAAAGATTGGACAAAAGAGTTAATTAAAGGATTATTTTCTCTTGTCGCTTTGATTTTTTGAACATGCTGCTCGTGTCTGTATATTTCTTTATATGAATGACATGTCAGTTTATCAAGCTTATAAAATTTCATATACATATTGTATTAATCATAGACGTCACCATAAGTTGACGCCAGATGTCGCAAAGATCGTTTACAGAATTATCAGAATTTCGATAATTGTTTTTAAAATAGACATATAAAAATTACTCGCTTGTGAAGCTAATATAAAAGGCAAATCATACGTTTAGGAAACCTTATCAATAAAGAATAAAAACGATAAGAGAGTGTTAATTAATTTAACTTGATTATCTTCAAAGGATAATGAGCTTTGTATAAGAGGCAGCTTCTTTAGAAAATTATCTCACATTACACTTGGATTTTTCATCGGGGAAACATGTCAAATATGTCTCGTGTTATTGTCCTCTTCTTACTCGCCGCCATTGTTTGTGTCAGCTGTAAGTGTTCGACAATTAAAAAGAAAACCTCCTGATTTCTTTGTTAATTTTATTCGACAATTAAAAAGAAAGTCTCCTGATTTCTTTGTTAATTTTATTCAGTCATCGACGCGGGCATAATCTGTCCACCGAACCAAGTGTTCAAATTTTGTGGTACCGCGTGCGAGCCTCGATGTGGAAGACCACCGCCACCAAATTGTATCGCTGTTAGTATCTCGAAAGATATTTTCTCATCTATTTCAAATTCAATATCTTGAACTTTGAAACACCATTTTAATGTTTGAAATTCATTGAATCTAATTTAACTTAATATTTTAAATTCGAGCGAGAATTTTCATTAACTGGTATGATTGAGCAGTGAAAGATTTCACACTGCTTAATATTAAAACTTTTAATTAGAAAAATGCTTTCAGAAGGGAACGTAAGACGCGAAATAAAATTAAATGCCTCAAATTTTCGCGATACAGTACATATTACTATAATTCTGACGGTACCAGATTGAATAATTATTAAATTTTTCACAATCCCACTGTGAAAAGTAACTGTAATTTGTGCGTCTTTTTTAGAAATGCGTGACGGACTGTCAATGCATCGACGGATACGTGAGGAATTCCTTGAACGAATGCGTCTTGCCGAACGAATGTTGAAATTATCTGTTACTTGTTAATTCGTCGAACGAACTCTGTGCCGATGATTAAAAAAAAAAAAATTGCGTAACTTTCCACGAGAGCGAATAAACGATTACCTTTCTCGATAACTTCCTGTTTGACTTTACTCACCCGTTCCGCTAAAATCGACTAACCTCGCGGCTGCTTTGTTTGAACGTGAACCAACATTTGCTCGATTGATCGAAAGGTGTGCGAACGAAACGTTATCAGTGAGTACATTATCGATGAGTCATCAGACTCATGTGCCCGTATCGAAAACTAATAAAAGCAAATTACGCAGGCACAATCGCCACTCTGTCGTTTCGGTTCTCTTTTTTTTTTTTTTTCTTTTCACACAAAAATATTGATTTTTAAAAGCATTTTTACAAAGCATTAATATATCGTTCGTGAATAATTGATTGGCTCAAAGACTGGCATTTCATTTCTTTGATATCGTGAAGTGTTTTTCTGCTTTGTTACACAATAACGGATGAAATTATGAGTGATCGATCGAGCATGATTTCTTCGTTTCATATCATTTTTATTGTGGCAAGACATTAATCACGATATAAATGAAATTTATCTACTAAGTGTTGATTAGCGATAATTTTTATCGACATACGGGTATTACATAGAGAGTGTAATTAAGTGTTT